TAGCCAAGAATTTTCTCTTGGGTTTCCATTTTCCAAACATAACGTGTGTGCATAACTTTATCCATGTGATTAGTCTTAGTGAGTAGTCGTTTTTACTGCAAACATTTGTAGAAGGATCTAAATCCTGACACCAACTCAAACAGCTCACTCATCTCTTTAGAAGCTCCTTCCCTTTAGAAAAGAAATATATATGTACATGTATAAAAGAACAGCTATATAGATGTATGCACATATGTATTAATATACGTAATTAATTCAAGAGCTGTCAGGAGAAGACAGCTCTACCACTGGGAAGGCCTTAAGATGGCAAGGTGTCTTAATGCTGTGTGTACATGAGCAGGTAGTCTCTTTATCTGGCCTACTATCAAAATCTCCTTACCTATGCTTTTGCTCAGATGACTTCATCCATCATTGCAACTTCTCACTGGTATTCATCAAGTTAGAACAATTTAGGTGTGTAAAACTAAATGTGTTATCATTTTAACCACAAATTAACAGTTTCTATATAAATATTAGCATTTCCTCACTTGGTCCAAGGATAGAAGCCATTACGGCACTAACAGTATATTTGATTCAAACTAATTAAAAACAGAGGCTCTTGCAATTTAATATATTGATTTTACCAGTGGGACTTAAATCTTTTATAATAAGTGTACACAGCTGCGCCGCTCACCCACCGCCACTTTTAAACCTAATCCCTGCATTCCTCCTGACAATAACATGACAGGATCCACACATCCCAGTATTAGCCTTAACCCCGGTGACACTGCCAGAATGTATTAAACTAAAACATAGCAGTGTCCTATTTAAAAGGAGCCTGTCAACAGCCCCGACTGGGCTTTAAGAGTTATAATCTTTTTTTTAATTAATGTTTCCAACCACTTTTGCAACCTTCCCGCACGCATCCCACCGCTGCCCCGCCAGGAAAAGCGTTTCCAGTGTATTTATGGAGGGAAAGGGAAAGTGTGGCCTTGTGCTGCCCGTCTGGGGGTGCTGGCTGGGCTCGTGGGCCCTTCTCCACCCGGCAGTTTGAAAATGAGCGGAATTCCCCCCAGAAATGGTCTGTGTGCTCAGAGGATGCCTGCTCGTGCCGGCGGCGTGGGATTCGCGGTATTCCACACGTTCCTTCTGCTCCAGCTTCCTCTGCTAGCTCGTGCCATGTGGGTGTATACCCGGGACGCGGATCCCATCCCGTCCGGAATGCTTTCGGGATGTACCTGCTGGGGCCTGGGAGCTTCCAGCAGCGCGAGGTAGAGGAGGACGAGGAAGAAATGGCTGCGGGCCTGGCCTGATGCACGGACAGACCCGTGTGAGCGCGAGCAGGCGCTCGGGGCGAACATTTAATCTGCTTTGTTTCAAGTGGGAAATATGTGAAGATCAAATAAGTTCAAACCCAGGTCAAATATCCTTGAAAATCTTTGATTTATATAAGCAGGAAAATGAAGTTTAAAAGAAGTGATTATGAAAGGGTTACTAAAAACACAGCTGTACGCGCGCTCTTATATCTGAGGCTCTCCAAAGAAAAACTGTGTGACATCTATATTAACCTTTGGCTGTACACCAATGACGGCCTGTAGTGAGCTGGAATGCAAGGCAGCCCCTTCCAAATCTTAACACAAGCCAGGTTACAGCTGCAAATGCCTGCAGCCCGTGCTCGCTTTATAAAGTATTCCCCGAAGGAAATTTTTTAACTGTTATAGAATCTTTTTCTAATACCCTACAGTGTTAAAGCTTGTTATTAAAGGGCAAAGAGATGGCTCGCCATGCCAAACACTTGTCAACAAAACGGATAGGCAGATGGTATGAAATAAAAGGAAACTTGGGGGCTCTTCGGCTTCTTGATTTACATTAACAAAAGCCACTTTCATGTGCTCCTTCCAAGATGACTAATCTCCCCCCCTTTATTTTTTGCCAGCATTAAACAATGTTGTTCGTTCTATAATCAACCATGAGACAAATTAGCAAATTGAGTATCACTTACACCGGCTCTTTTAAAAAGTATTCCGAGCAAGTCTGCTTACCAAGGCAAGACTATCCACATAAGGACAGCTCAATTATTTTTAGAAGAGTTGCTCGAAGTGATCTAGAGGATATTTACTCGTTACTCACTGTTTACAATCTTGAAATTCAACTGGTGCAGAAAATGCTTTGTATTTTTTTCAGAAATTCTCAAAATGGATCAGTTTGTAAATTTAATTTGTACATGGTCTGAAATGAAATTCCAGCTAATTAAATTATAGCAATAAATTTTGTAAGATTAGTCAGTAACTAACTGGCCAACTTTGTCAGGCCACTCTGGCCAAATTCTCTTTTAATATACATGTAACTTCATTCTTGACACAGATCCATTCCCCATCCATCCTAGCACAGGTGTAGGGTAAGTCAAAACGTAGCCTGTGAATTAAGTGGTTATAAATCTAACCCTAATTAATTGTCAAGATTTTACAGTAACATTACACACTAAGTTCAAAGCTCCCTGCAACACAGTCCCGAAATGGAGCACCTGTATTCTGGTTCCTCCCTAGCAATACTCAGTATAAATTCTTAGGATTAAACATGCAGGCCATCTCCATAGAAATCAGTGATGTGGTTTGTTTTACTTTTTATTTATTTTCACCACGTGGGCTCTTACTTACTCCAATCTAAATCTTTACTTTTCCTAGTTTTCTGTGAAGTTACATGACTAGACAGATGGAAGAACTAGGAATAAAGGAAAAGAAGGTAAATTCACAGATGAGTATTTGGAAACTCAGATTAGGACAACTTGCTTATTGAAATTTAAAGGTATTTCTTCTTTCCTCACTTTTACTTCCTCCATTGCCAAGATGAAGCTTTCTGACACTATGACACTTCCTCATTGTGATGGCTCCGGTGCAGTAATAAAAGCCTACCTGTGAAACGCAATGCTCACAGGGTATCTCTTACAAAACTAGGACACGGTTTACTACAGGCTGCCTTTAGCAATTCAGCTCTGGCTTAAAAGGGATCATTGTAGCAAGTCTCCCCAAAAATATCAGTTATACAATAGATCTTCTAATTTTTCCTGAATGTCATAGAAAACTGTACATATCAAAGCAGGTGTTGTGTTTGACTATATACGTGAGTGAGTGGCTGGCCCAATTCATTAAAACGTCCATAAACAAGCCTGTCTTTGTCCTATAAAGATGAAAGACCGATGACTATAATGGGATGAAAGGTGTGCACAGTGATGAAGAAAGCTCTTATAGATCTGCGTCCTTTTTAAACTCGTCCTGGCAGGCACTGTTGACAAGGGAACAAAACAGTGCAGATAAACCTCTGAAATGTGCCCTGCTGCTAATAATTCCACCCGGCTTTTTCAAAACCTTTGGATTTTTCCTGCCCTCTTCCTCCTCGCTGACCATGCTGACAGCAATTAAGTAAAATGATACTGTGAGTATATATGGTTAATATGTAAGCTGCTTCATTTAAAAAGTTTTCACTTATAAGTAGATAAATCCACAAGGTGCATATATTTTTTCAATTTACTGGCTAATTCCACTCTGATCACAAAACAGCGACATCCAAAAGCATTAGGGCCCTGAGTTTGACAATGTTTTATTCCTTCCCTGCGGGCTGCAGAGCGGGCCTTTCCTCGCACAGGGAGCAGGGCTGGAGCGTGTGGATGCAGAGGTTTGCAGTAGAGAGCCACAAGCAACGGGAGCACCATTTGCTTCCCCAAAATAAACTTCACTGGTCGCTTATTTTTCCTCAAGGTTCCACTTTGCTGCAGCGAGAGCAGAAGTGTCCAACATCCCCCGTGTCGCGTGAGCGGCTCTGCCGGCTCCCAAGTGCCACCAGGAACGGTGTCGGCAGCGCCAGGGGCAAATATTTGACCAGCAGAGGCACTTTTGGCTGCTCAAATATTTGATTTTACATGTATCATTGCTGATCGGCTTAAGCATCTAGCAGCGATTAGACAAACACTGCGAGTGTAAATGGAAAGCATTAGCACAGCCCCAAGGCCAAATGTAATTGCTGGGAGCCTGCTGGGGAGCTTACGGTGTTTAATAAGAAGGTGCAGCTCCTGCAGGCTGCGGCTCTAGCACAGCGTCCCGGGTCCCAGCGTCGTGCGACGGCCGTGCCGGCATGGACCCCAGATGTCGTAATCACTAACGCGTGTCCCAGAGCCCACGCAACTCCCGCTATATTGCAGTTTGTTAAGTGTGGGGGCTGGATGTGAGCGCCGGGGGGCTGCAGAGCGTTGGGTGTGCAGAGCTGCAGCGTTGCCCGAGCATGAGGGGGTGTCGGGGCTGGGGTCCCCGTGGCACTGCTCCCCGCTCGGCTTGGGTGGCGCTGGCAGCGGCTCTCGGCTTGGAAGCGCTACCCAGATTTTGCCTTGAACTTGCAGGCACTGAATCTGTACGGCTGGTGGTTTCGGAGCTGCACATGACGGCGTCTAAAAATGGACGGCGCGAAGCAGGGTCTGTAATTACGCATTTAAAATAGCCTGCTCGTCCTCACAGGGTTTTACTCAAATCCAGCCCAGTTAGCCCGAACGAGCGTGCAGTCTGCAGCGAGCACGGAGCCACCGGGCTGGGTCGCGCATCCCATCGGAGCGGCCTGGCACGGAGCACGCCAGCATTTGCATCATCCGCTTACGCCCGGCCAGTCGCACTGTGCCAAGGGCCACGTCCTTGGTGGCACAATCCCTCTCGTTTTCCCCATCAACCCGTCCCCACAAACGCAGCTCCGGAGGCGGAGCGCGTAACCACCGAAGGGGAAGGTGACAAGACACGAGCGCGGCGGCGAGGAGCACGGCACGCGCTCGCCATGTCCAACTCTGCACCTTGCTGCCTCTTGGCTACCCCTGGCAAAGACGGCGCCTTTTCCAGGGCCAGCGCTGGCCCTTCCTCTCCCCGGGGGCAGTTCGTCCTCCTCGCAGGTGGCTCCCCGGGGCCCCTCGTGCCACCACCTCCCACCCTGTCGCGGTGACAGGGTCCCGCTGCAGCCGTCCCGTCCCACCGCGCCTCGCGGCTCACCCAGGTTGACGAAGCTCATGACCATGTCCGCGTCGGTGAGGAAGTTGCTGTCCTGCAGGCTGGCGAGCGGCGGCCCCTGCGTGCTGAAGAGCGGCTTGTAGGGGTAGGAGAAGCCCTCGCCGTCCTCGGCGGCCGCCCC